AGAAATGAGAGTGCACGGTCACTCATGCTAATCAAGTTGGTTTAAGACTCACTTTTTTAGTTGTCAATAAAGTGGGTTGGCAAAAACATTTTATAGGAGGGATAAAACTACGTGAATGACACAAATTAAAGTACCTTGACATATTAGAGTTATGCCTTTTTTCCATTCGATAAGTTAACAATTTTTGTTACAAAAGACTAAAAATGTCATTTGAGCCAAAACTAAGAAACTAATTTTACACATTTAATAACTTAGAAATTTAATGGTTAAGAAAGACCTTAATAATTCTATAAAAAAAAAAAAAAAAAACAAAAACTTGTGTGAGACCATCTCACGGGTCTTAATCGTGAGATGGGTCGTATCTTTGATTAATGAGGTTAAAGATCTGACCCATTAATTAAAGATTTGATACATTAATCAAAGATCCAACGCGTCTCACGAATTGAGACCCGTGAAACGGTCTCACACAAGTTGTACCCGTAAAAATAAAATAAAATTAAGGCTCTGCTTGACAGAGTTTATTTAGGAACTTATAGCTTATTTTAAGTTACTAATAAGTTATAAGCTCTGTTTGGTAATGTTCCCAAAATTAAATAAGCTAGTAGCTGCCAAACACCTTGTGCTCAGATGACATGTAATGACCTCTTAGGTAGCTTTTAAAAAATAAGCTAGGAGCTTCCTAATTTTTTTCCATCTTTATCCTTATTATTTTAAATAAATGACATCTTTTACCCTTCCCAATTAAAACCCTTTAGGCCTTTTTTCTTCTCCTATTTTTTTTTTTTTTTGAAGACAACAACTTAATGCATTAAATCATAATCAAGACAGTTTACAAGGAAAGTAGGGGGTGTATCAAACCACTCCCCGCAACCTGACATAGAACAAGCCTCCCGAGCAACAGTGTGGGCGGCAAAGTTCGCAACTCTGCAACTCTTCACCACCCAGCAACTCCTTAAAGTTCTAACTCCAATCGTCATTCATAAATAAATGACATCATTTACCGTTACCGATTAAAAATCATTTTTCTTTTGTTTTAATTTAATATATATCTTATATATATTATAAAAACAAAAATCTTTTTTTTTTATATAAATTAAATATATCTCATATATTTAATAATATAAAAACAATATAATAATCACATCATTTAAATTTTATGAAAATATTCTTTTTATTCTTTTTACATTTATCAGTTTATCAAAAAACTAATTTTACCAAATACTTTTAAGGATAATTAATTAGTTAACAGCTCTTCAGTTTTCATCTTCTAGCTTATAGCTTTTCAACTTTCAGCTATCTTTTTGGTTAGGTTTGTCAAACATAGCCTAAATGGTGGGGATAAAGATAGAAATTGATTTCATCTCCTTTTTCTTATTTGAGTATTTGACGCATATGTCCCTAGTGTTCAAGTAAGTTTATTGGACAAATTTTAAATTCCAACGTGAGAGTAAACAAAGATGCTAGGATTGCTAGGTAAGACTAGTCTTATATATATAATTTAGGTTGGTGCTCAATGTTAAAAATTTCGTTAGATTTTCTCTCTTCCTCACTAGAAACATCATGTGTCTTATATAAGGTGGAGAAAAAAAAAATATTAAAATTTCATGTTTAACCCTCTCACTTAAGTTTTTTTGTTTTTTTAATTATTTTTTTAATTTCATTTTCCCTATCCAAGTTTAACAAAATATTAACACACAAAAAAAAAAAAAAAAATCAAACTGCTACTTTGAAAATAATTAAAGGGCTAAAAAATATATGGCAATAATTAAAGGATTAGATCTAGAACCTTGAAATGCACTTCAGATTAATGGAGATATTGTCGAAGAGCCGCAATAGAGTCAGATTTGGGTAGCAAAATCATTAACAATATCAAAGAAGCTTCAGATTCTCCAAACGAGTTCAGCTTCAATCTTAAAAAACAGTCAGAGATTCAAGTTTCGTGTAGCATTTGAAATTTGTTTCAATGTCTGATTGTAAAAATGTTCTATAATTCCATCGTTTTTGTTGTAAACTTTTCATTGTATGATTAATGAATTAGCTCTTTTATTTCAAAAAAAAAAAAAAAGATTAGATCTATATTTGGAATATAATTCTAAGACAGAATATGTTATTGTTTTTATTATTATTATTATTATAATTTATCTCGTTAATAATTTCAAGTTATTGGTCAACTATAGAGCTGTTCCTTCGAGACAGTTAATCGGCAAAGTTTCATATTAAGATAAAAGTTTATTCCACTGAAGCAATTAATTGACAATTTGACGTATTAACCAAAAGCAGTGTAAAACACTATTCTATATCTAGAAACTCGAATATACTCTTCCTCAAGTGGGTGAAGCATGATTTTATACTTAAAAATTTAATTCAATTCTCAATCACCTCTCAGTCAGATCGCCTATCAGTCAAACACATCACTTATCCATATGAAATAGAGAAAGTATTCTTTGAATGGGTAGCTCAACTAGTTGTAGAGATAATTTTTTTATTTTTTAAAGACCAAGAATATGGTAGGCAATTCCATTTTTTGTCACAAGAGATAGAAAACGTATTCTACATCACCACATATAAGATTATTGAATTGATTTTTGGTAGCTAAAACTAGTTAACTTTCCATATGGGAGTATTTATAAATTTAATTATATTATTTGTTATCTTGACTTAGTTACACCCTTATGAATTCATAAATAATCAAAATAATAATTAAATACAAAATAATAATAATAATAATTATTATTATAATTATTATTATTATTATTATTATTATTATTATTATTATTATTATTATTATTATATTTAATTTAATGGTGTATATTAGCTAAACCTACTTCTATGTAATAGTTCACAAATCGTAAATTAAACCATATAAGAAAAGCAAGTCATATTATGAAAACCATGTGTGACGGACTCGAACCAGATTGTGTTGATTTAAGAATCGTACTTGTTATTATCTATGTATGAGAATTATGTTGTACCCACTTAGTTAACTTTTTTTTTAGTACTACATATACCGACTCTGTTACAAAGTAGTATCTATTGATAGTTACTTTCTCAACCTATTGAAGCACAAAGAGTCAATATCGCCCTCACTGATGCTCAAACCCTAATCTCTTTGGAAGAGCCATTTTATGCATACCACTAGATTACAAGGTCATTGGCCAGCTAACTCTTTATTAGAGAGGATTTTGGAGTATTGGTACTTGGTAGAGGCTGAAAAAATCTCCTACTCGATCTCATTTGATCTCTAATTCGAATGTACTTATATTGCTTGATGAAATTTCACTAACACCAAACTTATCATCAACTATCACTCTGAAAACCCAATGAGTTAAATGAAAAAAAAAAAAATCTTAATAAACGATTGTTGATAGCATACTTTCAGATTTTATGAACGGTAGATGTGATCACAACTATATGCAAAGTCGTAAGGTACTAGCACCAACACTAGACGTTGTGAACTCAATAAATGAGTATATGAGTGACTTGTATACTGCTGAGAGTACGACATACTTCAGTTGTGACACAATGTGTAAAGCAGACTCAGCTAGTGGAATACTTGGAGATGTCCACACTCCAGAGTTTCTCAATGGGTTGCGAGCATCTGGAATTCCAAACTATGCTTTAACATTGAAAGTTGAATCACCTATAATGTTGTTGCGAAATATAGATCACTCATTAGGCTTATGCAATGGAACGAGATTGCATTGGTTATTACAAGATTGTCCGAGCATGTTATTGAGGCCAAAAATAATGACGAGTGACAACGCCGGGAGTTCGGTATTGATACCTAGAATGTTAATGATTCCATCAGATACAAGATTGCATTTCAAATTTTAAAGGAGACAATTCCCATTAATGTTGTCATATGTAATGACAAAAAATAAAAGTCAAGGTCAGACACTATCTCATGTTGGGTTGCTGTTGAAGAAACTAGTGTTTGTATACGGACAATTGTATGTGGTTGCGTCTAAAGTTAGCAATCCTAAGGCTCTAAAAATTCTAATTTGTAATGATTTTAATAAGAGTTGTACTTTAACAACTAACGTTGTTTATCAAATTTTTTTTAATAATTTGTAAATAAAATGCTAATTTTCCAAGTCAATATTTTTTTTGCTGGTTTTGCAATATCCTATAATAACATATTTCAATGTTATTTGTATAGTTTAATTTATTACCATATATTCAATCGGTTTCTTTATTACAATAACATTGCAAATTAAAATATAATATGTAGACCGTGCATCGATACAATGTTAATAATAATAATAATAATAATAATAATAATAATAATAATAATAATAATAATAATAATAAAGAAAGAAGCCAAGCACATTGTACTCACGTACATTTCTGTGGCTCTCTTTGAGGGAATGTCACGAAATTTTTTAGCTACAACAGAAATTATATTGAACAATTACTACTTTATAATAGAGTCGATAATACTAAAAATAAATAAAAAAGAAAGAAAGAGAGGTTCATGAGATAAATGAGAATTATTGTGCCTAATTTAAACATAATAATTTTTTTTTACAAAAGAAAAATGCCACTGTCTACATACCTGCACGTACAGTCGTACAAGTACTATGAGCAGCTAATGGTACTATTTTTCAATTATAGTTACTACTCATATATATTATATATATGGCTATAGAATCAATACACACATTATGTCATTTTTATGAATGATGATGGAAATTTTACAATTTTTTTTGAGTGTGAGTAAACTTTACCTTGTGACTTTAGTCAGTAAATGACCATAAGAAAATAAAGTTATTCATAATTGACGGGTTCAAATTAAGGGAGTAAGAATTTAAACTCGGTGACTTTGTAATTACATGTGAAATATTTCTTGTTATTTTTGATTGGGGTTACTCATGATAACGTAAACCAAAAAACTTTCTTTTTCATTGGCCAATCAATTTCTTATCACAAAAGGCTGAATCCCCAACCCTAAGGGCTCCCACACTCCGACCAGACAGAGCATGTGGGAGACCAATCAATTTCTCCTGATCCAAGATCATTCCTTCTATTTAAACTGTTCTTCCCTCCCTCACATCCACCACCAAAACCAACATACACAACAAAGCACAAATCACATCTCTCTCTCTCTCTCTCTCCTCTCTCAATCTCTAGCAAACACTCAAACAGTACTTATGGGTTTTACCTCAATTTATGAGGATACCCATTGGTGGATGTTAACCTTACCAAGTGTTCTTGAAACTCAGTATCTATCAGACATTATGGTCCTTTTCATAATCTTGGCAGCGTTTCTGGTCGGTGGTTTGGTAACTCGGGCTTTTTCGGGTGGCGGCCCGGCTTGGAAAAACGGCCGTAACAGAATGGGCCGAGTCAAGATTCCTGGACCCACGGGCCTCCCCATTTTCGGCAGCTTATTCAGCTTGAGCCACGGCTTGGCTCACCGCACTCTGGCTGCCATGGCTTCCCGTGCTGCCAGTGCCAGTGTCGCCACCCAACTCATGGCATTCAGCCTCGGATCCACCCCGGTGGTAGTGGCGTCGGATCCGCACACGGCCCGAGAAATCCTGACTTCCCCGCACTTCGCGAACCGCCCCGTGAAGGAGTCGGCTAAGCAGCTGATGTTCAGCCGAGCCATCGGGTTCGCCCCCAACGGGTCGTACTGGCGGCTCCTGAGGAGAATCGCGTCAACTCACCTCTTCGCGCCGCAGCGCATTTTAGCGCACGGAAGCGGACGGTGGCTAGAATGCGCCGCCATGCTGAAATCCATAACCGAAGAGCAAAAACTCCATGGCTACGTAACCCTAAGGAAACACCTCCAGGCTGCTTCCCTCAACAACATCATGGGAATCGTTTTCGGGGAGAAATATGAAATGAATAACGAGGAAAAGAATAGTATAGAGGTTGAAGAATTAGTGAGAGAAGGGTTCGAGCTGCTGGGTGGTTTCAACTGGTCCGATCACCTGCCGTGGTTGAAGCATTTGTACGATCCATTTCGGGTCCAACAACGTTGTTTGGCCCTCGTCCCTCGTGTCCAAAGGCTAGTTAAGGCAATAATCGAAGAACACAAGAGCAAGAAACATGTGGAGGAAAATCATGTTTCAGATCATCAATCTTTCGTGGATGTCTTGCTCTCCCTAGATGGCGAAGAGAAGTTGGATGAGGATGACATGGTGGCTGTTTTGTGGGTAAGTAATAATAACTCACTAAAGATGTGTTTGAAAACCACAAAAATATTTTCTGAAAAAATGAGTCATTTTTCCGAAAATAGTATCATTTTTAGTATTGGTTGCATTATGAAAAACTGTCTTGGTCATTTTTTGTCCGTAAAAAATGACTTCCCTAACATTTTAGCTGAAGTCATTTTCTTACAAAGTCATTTTCCAAGTCAACAGAAAATGATTTCCTTTGACTTGATTTACCAGGCATATCAAAACACTGGAAACCCAGAAAATGATTTCTAGACATCCTAATAATTATTTTATTCTTTGAAGTGGTGCCAAAATATTTTTAATTTTTTTTTTTGAAAACCAAATATTTTAAAAATTATTTTACTTATAAAGTTAATTGTAAGCAAAATGCATGCATATACCATTTTCCATACATGTCATCTAATATAACGAGTACTTTACACTAAAATTTATAGAGATTATTATAGTCTAGATCACTAGATGGCAATCAATAGCATGATGTTAACGTTGTTTATATTTATTATGAGTTACAAAAGTTTATCATAATCCATAACTTGAAGTAGAAATGTGTCATTCTAATCAATAGGTGGCTATAATTGACCTGCAATAATGTAGTACAAAATTAAAGGTGTTATAACCTAAATGACTATATATATTGCATTAGAGAGTAAATTTTTGGATCACATCCATCTAGCCTAGGTATGGATATGATAGCTTAGTTGTTGTATCATATCTTTCCAAGATATTCTAGAAACCCATCACTTTCAATGCACTAACTCATTTTTCATGCTTAATTTTTTAAGGATGGTTTTATCCCTACTGGAAATTAAAGAATTTCCGACCACCTAAAAGTGATCTTAAATCAAGTTGATACCAAAAAGTGGTCGGAAATAGCAACAAAGGTTTTTCCGGATACCAAAAGTGGTCGGAACAAGACTTTCCACTTGATTTAATATCACTTTCAGGTGGTCGGAAATTTCATAATTTCCAGTAGTGATATTAAAACTCATGACTCTATTCTTGTTATTTGTTTTATTATAGGAAATGATCTTTCGTGGTACCGACACAACAGCTCTTCTAACGGAATGGATCATGGCAGAATTGGTTCTAAACCGAGGAGTCCAAGACAAGCTTAGGAATGAATTAGACAATATTGTTGGACAAAACAAAACCATCACTGATGCTGTCATTTCCCGACTACCTTATCTCCAAGCAATTGTAAAAGAGACTTTACGTCTACATCCACCGGGACCACTCCTTGCGTGGTCCCGACTGTCTACCTCTGACGTTCAACTTAGTAACGGGATGGTGATCCCTGCCAACACGACTGCCATGGTCAACATGTGGGCCATTTCTCATGACCCCGCCTTGTGGGACCAGCCATTTGTGTTCTCTCCGGAGAGGTTTGACCCTGCCGCCCCCGGTGGGATGTATGTGGACGTGAGGGGGAACGACTTGAGGCTCACACCGTTTGGAGCTGGCCGGAGGGTTTGTCCGGGGAAGAACTTAGGATTAGCCACGGTGAGTTTATGGGTGGCAAACTTTGTTCAACATTTCGAGTGGATTGAGATTGAGAGTCAACCTGTAGACCTAAGTGAGGTTTTGAAGCTCTCGTGTGATATGAAACATCCGCTATTGGCTAAGGTTGTCCCACGAAATTATTGACGCCTATGTATTCAGGTTCCCTTGTGCCTTTACTCTCTGATCTCAACCTATCAACCTATATAAGTTGTGTGTAATTTAACATAATTAAGTAATGTTGTTTGAGGTTTTCAAAAAATTAATGTTGTTTGAAGTAATGTTTTTGTGTAAAAGGGGAAGTCGTCACTTGTTGATCTACATATATATGATATATGTAACTGTAACCTGTACTATTTATAGGAATAAGTAATATTTAATATATATATATTAATATACTATTTATTGATCTTAGGGTTTTCTTCCCGGGTTAGGGCAAATTATACCATGGACCAAAGTCCACATGGCATTGTAGACCATGATTCAAAATGACATTTATATTGGGGGTGTTTGGTAAATGGTTGTTAGCTGATTGAGTTAATGAGTTTGACTAGTTGATAACATTAGCTGATTGTAGAGTAGTGTTTGGTAAATTAGCTGATTACATACAAAATGACTTTCTCAAAAAGCTGATCTAAAAAACTAATTTGAGTAGCTCTTTGAATTGTAGCATTTTGGAACAATAAATTGTTGCAAAAAGCTAATTAATCAAACACTCATATTGATTGTTTAACCAAGTCAAACAGCTAATAATGGTCAAATAAGCCAAAATTGGCTAGCAGAATAACTATTTTACCAGGACATTATGTATCTACAGTTAATAGATTATGTGCTTGCAGTTAACATATATATTACGTGTCTGTAAATAAATTAAAAACATATAATATGTTAACTACAAGCACATGCATAATATTTAAATGTAGGCACATAATATATATGCAAATAACATATTATATGCATGTATTTAACATACTAGTTTTTTTACGCGCTTTGCGCGAATGGAATAATGCCCAATGATTATTTTTAAATAAGTATTTCAAAGTATATCAACGCAATATTATATCGGAGATGTTCATGCAAATGTAAATAAATATTGAATTTGTTTATTTAAATCGGTAATTCAAAATATATAAATGCAAGATAATATTTATTGAATTTTCTAATCGATATTTGGTAGTGGTAGTTTTCCCCTACATGTTTCATGCATTGTGAGATGTGTGTCGTAGGTTATCATATGAAAGTATTGAACAAAATATTAATATTTATTATATTTGTATAAAATACTTGGTAAATAAATATATATAATGTATTTTGTATTATAACTTTGATATTTAATTACAAGATAATGTAAAAAGAAGACAATGGACAATGCAGTGAATATAATAAATTGATAAATTTGAAGGTAATGAATCTTTGAATTGTAAAAAATATAGATAATATAACTAATGAAATTTTATCTATTTTTAAATTTTTTATAATGAATAATTTTTTTTAAATAAAGGCATTATAGACTTCTAATTCTAAATTAATTAAATGCATATGTATTATTTTTTGTTGTAGCTACTACTTTATTTTAGTTTAATAAGAGTAATAAAGTGGCGTATATACTTTTCATCAACAATAATGCAATCATTGATTTTCTTTTTAAAAAAAATACATACAAAAAATATTAATGCAAAAGTATAATTGAAATATTAAGTTTTTTTCTGATCTAAATAATCAAAAGAATATTAAGTTTTTTTCTGATCAAATGATTTTTAAAGTTCTTGATTTATAATCTTTGATGCTTAACTTTGAATATTATGTATTTAGTCAGACTAATTATTTGAACAAAGTTTATGTTAAATTTTATATTATATACTAGTTTTTTACGCGCATTGCACGATTGGGATAATGCCCAATGTATTTTTTTTTTTTAAATAAGTACTTTAAAGTATATTAAGGCAGGATTATATTGAAATTGTTCATGCATAGAACTCCGACCCGACAGAGCATTGTGGGAAGTTGTAAATCACGGTGACTCAATGGTTCAGCAGACAGGGCCAAATGCTGATACGTACAAGGAATCTGCCCACTTTGGACATAATTCCCGCACTGCCGCTGCCGAGGTTCAAACCTTGGTCTCTTCTCCCAAATACTACCCACTAAATCATTGAGCTAAGCCCGTGCGGGTTAAATAGATAATTCTAAGTTTACAAATGCAAGATAATATAATCAAGATTGATTATAATTGTCAATAAAATAATTGTATAGGTATGGTTGAAACCAAATACGGGACATAAGGGAAAACAAATAAAAATTAGGGCATAAAATATTAAATATATACTAATATTGTTTGAGGAGATTCCGACATTAGGATTTGTGGTTAAGTTCTATTAAGACTTTAATATTAGAATTAGATTAATGGTGTAGTTATAATTCTATATTAGACTTTAATATTAGAATTAGACTAACGGTGAATTAACGGAAAAGTTAAATGGATAATCATATAATTAAGGATAAATTATAAAATCTTAAAAGAAAAAAATTAAAACCTGAACAATATGAACCATTCATTTGATTTAATAATTTGGGCGGTCATTTTTTCTACCCAATGTTAATAATTAAATAAATTCGCTGGTCAAATCCGCTAGTATAATCCGCTAACGCTAACCGCTAACTGCTGATTGTCAAACAAGGACATTGCGAGGTAATTCTTACTTCAATTTGTTGTGTGATTTGAATACTCTCTTTGTCACAAAATCTCTCAAGTAGTTAATATGGTTGGCTTTATTAATTATATTTTTTTTAATTTTTTCATGGTATTAATAAAATACTTCGTAAATAAATATATAGCATTATTTTGTATTATAACTTTGATATTTAATTAGAAAAATAGTGCACAAAAAAGATAATAGATAATGTAGTGAATATAATCAATTGATGAATTTGAATGTAAAAATTTTTACATTTGAGAAAAATAAAAACAATATAACTAATGAAAATATTTCTTTTAATTAATTTATTGATAATTAATAATTTTTTTTCACTGAATAAAGACATTGTAAGGATAATGTAGCGAATATAATCAATTAATAAATTTAAATATAAAGAATTTTTATATTGAAGAAAAGTAAAGACAATATAACTAATAAAATTATTTCTCTTATTTAATTTATTGATAATGAATAATTTTTTTTTTGAATAAAGACATTGTGGACACATAATTCTAAATTAAAGAAATGCATATGTATTATTTTTCGTTGTAACTACTAAATTATTATTTATATAATTTAATAAGAGTAAAATAGAGTACTAATTATGCCAACTTTGATTGAGATGAGGTTCGAACCTAAGACCTTTTTTTTTTTTTTTTTTTTATTGAAATCAATGAGTAAGTTAACGGTGAACTAACGGCAATTCTTAAAATTTTAACGGAATTAGTAACGGTGTGTGTGTATTTTAGGAAATTTTAGTGTGAAATTTAAATCTGATCAATCTTTTAATCAATCTGAGCCATACATTTGATTAAAATCTGTGACCGCCATTTTTTCTACCCATTATAGGCCTAACTCTCTTGGGCTCTTATTAGTATGTATATGTATGTATATATATATATATATATATATATATATATATATATATATAGTAGAGATAGATAGTAGATATAGTAGATATTTTAAATATATTTTAACATATTTGTAGTAGATATTTAACAATTATGCCAACTCTAATTGGGATGGGGTTCGAAACTAAGACTTTTCTTATAGAAATTAATGTGTAAGTTTAAAATAATAAATACTTAACGGAATATTCCGTTACTAAAGTTTATGCTAACGGAATTTATGTTATTTAAGGAAAGAAAATAATATAATAGAGGGTAAATAAGAAAAATCAATAAAAAATACTAAAACAAAAATAATATGAACCATTCATTTTAAGAAACAATAGTATAATATGAACCATTCATTTTAAGAAACAAAAGGACTGACATTAGAATTGTAGATAGATTATAGGTCTACAGTTCATATATTTTGTGTCTCCAATTTATTTACATGCGAATAATTTATTAACCGAAGGCACATAATTTTTAGATCAAGATCCACAATACAAGGTGAATCCTGGTCCATGGTATAACAATTGCAGGGTTATGTTTTACTCTTATTAGAATTGTAGATTATAGGTCTACAGTTCATATATTTTGTGTCTCCAATTTATTTACATGCGAATAATTTATTAACCGAAAGCACATAATTTTTAGATTAAGATCCACAATACAAGGTGAATCCTGGTCCATGGTATAACAATTGCAGGGTTATGTTTTGGGCTTTTAGGTTGGTATTTCTCGACAGTAACGGCAAAGTGATTTTCCTAGGCAAATTATTGTGTGGATCACGATCCAAAACGACGATGTTATGATGTTAAACAAAGATTTCTTATTCTGCATGCGTGTTAGAATAATGAACATTTTAGGTTAAGATAATGTATTTTATTAGTTAGAATAATGTACTTTATGTATTAGAATAATGTACTTTATGTGTAAGAATAATGAAATTTTTGGTATAAGATAATGTATTTTATGAGTTAGAGTAATGTACTTTAATTTGTGTTAGAATGAAGTATTTTATGAGTTAGAATAAAATAAAATGTACTTTGTCTTAAAACAATGAAATTTTTGGGATAAGATAATGTATTTTACGAGTTAATATAATTTACTTTATATGTTACAATAATGTATTTTATGATTTAGAATAAGTATTTAATGGCTCAAATTTGTCCACACGGACTCATATAACTGGATGCACAAGAGCAGTAGACTATATATATATATATATATATATATATATATATATATATATATATATATATATATATATATATATATATATATATATATAGGGAAGGGTTCAGGTGCGGGTATAGCTTTCCGTGCGGTTGTGCGGTTAGATCTGAGCTGTTGATCAAATTTAGATCAACGGGTCAAATCAATGAAAATTAAAAAAAAAAAACGCGTGTCTGGAAAAAAGAAGCATAAGCTAAAAATGACGCACCTTAAGTGATAGAAACATGCACCTTAAGTGTTAGATCTTAAGCACAAACTCACGCACATTAAGTACAAAACTCACACACATTAAGCACAACCTCACGCACATTAAGCACAAAACACACGCACTTTAAATATTAACTCACAGACTTTAAGTTTCAACAACTATTGACATTAAGCACAAACTCACGCACATTAAGTATAAAACTCACGCACA